TCCCACGTTGATTTCAATCAGTGGTTTATTGAGTCTTGCTCAAACAGTACTGGCATGGATTCAAGGACACATCATTACCCTATGGCCCTAAGCACTTTCGTCCTGACTTTCTTACTGATTATCCAAACTCAAATTAGGGGAAAGGTGGGAGGATGGACAGTATAGACTACTGCTCAAATCTTAACAGTGACCACTTAGTTTGGGGGACAACCTGGAAGAGGATAAAGAAAAAAGGAATAAACTTAAAACTGTAGTGTCAGCTACTTAGTTGCAACTGGTTACTGAAAGAAGCAATTTCTATTCTGAATAACCCATGAAGGAAAGGAAAGCAAAGAGAAAACATGTAATTATTGCAAGGAAATGAACATGGGAAGCAAGAAAGGCCAGAGGCTAGGAAATAATTGACAAGTTGATTAGAATTGACAAGTTCAAGGATCTCTCAGAAGGAAAAAACTAGTGAAATGGTCATAGTGGTGCTACTTAATTTGCAATTTCCTTGAGAATTTCTCACTTCCTTTTGGTGATAAATCAATGTAAGATACTAGTGAATTGGATCCACCATGTTTCTCTTCCTCCGAGGTTTCCATAAAAATGGGTCTTCTGAATGAAGTTCAAATTTTCTTACTTTCGCCTGATCTCCCGGGAAGAGATCTGCTGTGCACCTTAAAAGCTAGCATATTCTATAGAATATGCTAGCATATTCTGGTAGAATGTCTGCAGAGCTCTAAGGAGGAAAGACACGTGATTTGGTTACTGTGTGCTGTCTGAAAGAAAAGGGATACTGCAAAGAGTGGCAGGGTGGCCCTATGCAGGACAAATACTCTGAGCTGGAATAGGTTGATGCATCACTTTGAGCTCTAGAACCAGTTATAACAGAATCAGAAAAATAAGGGGTAGTTTAAAAAATGCTCATTCTAAATGAAATGAAAAAATAAAAATGCTCATTCTGTAATACTCCCATGCCTCCAATAAAGAAGGAAGGTTAATTTTATATCAATGGTCAGTGACCTTAAAGCTTTCTATAAAATTTCAAAGAAGTAAATATATGTGTTGTTCCATTATCTGTGTGTTTCCTAGCCCTGCAACTGTTCTGATTTCAATATTGTTTGCAAAGGTTTTCATTGTAGTCGATCTTGCTCTGCATTTCTCACAGATAAATCTCAATTAGTATTGCTTTAGCTTATATCAGAATCTAGTATCCCATATCTATGGCAAAGGATTCCTAAAGGCTTTGGGGACTCCATTTTTAAAAATCATTTATAAAACAAAAAGTGAGAGAGAGATTTGTCCCACCCATGGAGGGATCTTTAATCATTCAATGTAGATGACTTGCTGGTAGTATCAGCAATTAGAGTGCATGAAAGATTTGTAATTTGGCTTTGCCACAATTCTTTCCTTCACAGGGGCATAAGGCCTTACAGACAAATTGCATAAATGCTTGAGGCATCTGTTATCAGCTATATGTCACAGAGTTTTACAATCTGTGCTCGTGGGTTCAGTCGCCCAGTCATGTCCAAGTTTTGAAATCCTGTGGACAGTAGCCCACAAGGCTCCTCTGTCCATGGGATTTTCCAGACAAGACTACTGGAGTGGGTTTCTATTTCCTACTCCAGGGGCTCTTCCTGACCCAGAGATCAAACCCACATCTCTTGCATCTCCTGCATCGGCAGGTGGATTCTTACCACTTTCCATCTAGGAATCAGTAAAACATCTTACCACACACACATACACACACACAAAAGTCATTTATGGGACTAATACAGAATTGTAGAAAACAGAGCCCAACATTTGCAGATTAGACAAAACATCTGCTGGAAAAAACTGCGTGATAATTCTCCAAGATAATTCATCCTCTGGTTTGGGATGAAGAGCCTTTGAACAATTGAAATTGGCTCTGATGCAATATTATGGTGACTTCTTTGAAATTTGGAAGCTTGGGGGGTTCTGGGGGGTGGGGTGGGGTACTTGTTTTGTGTTTTGGTCTGGAATTAAATCAGCACAAGCAGCTAGGGTAATAGCAGTTACATGAGAACTATAATTGTGTTTTGCACTGACAAGGAATATGTGTACTGTTAATAAATATATGTCTGATGTTTGCCATGCAACAGGAGAAATTTTTTAAAGGCTCCCCGGGTGCTGCAGCCCCTTGGGGCATTCGATGGCTGGAAGGAAGCCTGTGGCACATAGCCTGGTCTGCTCGGTGGAGGGCCCTCCCAGGGTTGCAGGGGCCCCTCAGAGGCACTGAGGTCGCTGTAGCTGGCGCCTCAGGGACACTGCCGCTGCCACCATACCTCTGTGCTCCAAGGTTCCAGGTAAATTTCTTGAAGGGAGAACTTTTCCTATCAATTGGAACTTAGATAACCCATAGAAAAGTGATGGCTGTTTTATCAGAGGCTTTATAGCTGCCTACTCAGGTTTCAGTGATGTACTAGAGGACTCACATAGACCAGAAGGACAAAATTTCTAAGGGCGATAAATGCGCTGACAGAGTTTCAAAAGCAACTATTAACCTATGGCAGTCTCCAAATTTAGAAGCCCCACTTTTAATATTGTAAGAAACTTCATTCATTTTCAAAAATACACATTGTTAAATAAAACAGAGAAATGGACTATAAAATGAGCTAAAAGAAATATGACGGGACTATGAGAATTACCTAACAGTAATTCGTATACCACAATCCATATTTATTTGGTAAGTACTGCTGTGTCATCATCTAACTAAAAGAGGGATTTCTTTTTATTTTTTAAAACTTTTTCTCCTCTAATACTTATGGATACTACAAATCCCGTTTCCTCACTTTTTATTAATTTTAGTGAGTTGTAATTTGAGGAAACTAGCAAAGTCTTGCAAAATTCTTCAGGTCTTGAGTTTTCACATATGTATGTAAGACTAACTTGGTTGTTGTAAGTCAAATATGTGAAGGTAGATTTAGTATAGTAGGTGACTTAGTGTACACTCAGTAGTAACAGATAAGGGGAAAAAAAGGTGACAGAATTATTGGAAGGCCAAGAAATGTTCTAAAAAGAGGGATTTTTAGAGGAACTAGACTTTTACTATTCGTAATGAAAAGATGAAATTATTTAAACTATTAAAGAGATGTGCTGCTTCTCAGTAGAATTCTTTGAAGCCACTTCCAAAGTAAATGCAGGAAGCTTTCCCTAATCAACTTTCCAGGAACCTGGCATCAGTTGAATTTCACAGAGTTAAAAGGCCCGAAAAAAGTTTAAAAGGTGAAAGTTAAAAGATGCTGTCTAGTTATGGTGGGTATGATGTGTAAATGGCCCCGGCAGCAATAAAGCCTCTCTTAACGTAACTGAGCACAGAGGACAGCTCTTAGAGGGCACCTGTTGCTGTGTGCCATTACTCTGCTTCCTGTTACCTAGCAACGGGTCCTGCTCGGCCATTGGTAGGCATCACAGTGGGTCCCTCCCACAAGCAACCAACTGTCAATGAGCAAGCCTTAGAGAAGGATTCAGCCAATAGCTGGGGAGAGTGGTGGTTGTCAAGCTCAGAGTGAGGCAAGAGGCAGATCCTGGACTTCTCCTCGGGGCCCTCCAAAGCTCATGGGCCCTCAGGCCAGCCGAGGGACCAGACTGAGACCTCTGTCCTGCGGGGCTCCTGAGCCCTCGCCAGGGGCACCCACTGGCCATAGCCCAGGCCTTGAGGCAGTGAAACTCTCCCTCAACCCTGTGTCTGCAGCTTAACGGCAGCGGCCTTCTACCTGGGATGCAGTCTGAGGAACTTGCCCTTCCCCTCCCCAACCCCGTCGCTCCCTCCGCGTTGACGACGGCAGAGTCTGGGGAGCTTGGCCCTGAGGCGGCCGCCAGCTGACATCTGCCTCCTCTTAGCCAGAACCTTGACCTCAAAGGGAAGAAGTTGTGCCCAGGATCTTTGCCCTTCAGAGAATAACACGGTTTGGTAGAGATTTACAGGAAGATCATGATCTGACCGTGACCTTGTTACTGAGGACTCACATAGACCAGAAGGACAAAATTTCTAAGGGCGATAAATGCGCTGACAGAGTTTCAAAAGCAACTATTAACCTATGGCAGTCTCCAAATTTAGAAGCCCCACTTTTAATATTGTAAGAAACTTCATTCATTTTCAAAAATACACATTGTTAAATAAAACAGAGAAATGGACTATAAAATGAGCTAAAAGAAATATGACGGGACTATGAGAATTACCTAACAGTAATTCGTATACCACAGTCCATATTTATTTGGTAAGTACTGCTGTGTCATCATCTAACTAAAAGAGGGATTTCTTTTTATTTTTTAAAACTTTTTCTCCTCTAACACTTATGGATACTACAAATTCCATTTCCTCACTTTTTATTAATTTTAGTGAGTTGTAATTTGAGGAAACTAGCAAAGTCTTGCAAAATTCTTCAGGTCTTGAGTTTTCACATATGTATGTAAGACTAACTTGGTTGTTGTAAGTCAAATATGTGAAGGTAGATTTAGTATAGTAGGTGACTTAGTGTACACTCAGTAGTAACAGATAAGGGGAAAAAAAGGTGACAGAATTATTGGAAGGCCAAGAAATGTTCTAAAAAGAGGGATTTTTAGAGGAACTAGACTTTTACTATTCGTAATGAAAAGATGAAATTATTTAAACTATTAAAGAGATGTGCTGCTTCTCAGTAGAATTCTTTGAAGCCACTTCCAAAGTAAATGCAGGAAGCTTTCCCTAATCAACTTTCCAGGAACCTGGCATCAGTTGAATTTCACAGAGTTAAAAGGCCCGAAAAAAGTTTAAAAGGTGAAAGTTAAAAGATGCTGTCTAGTTATGGTGGGTATGATGTGTAAATGGCCCCGGCAGCAATAAAGCCTCTCTTAACGTAACTGAGCACAGAGGACAGCTCCTAGAAGGCACCTGTTGCTGTGTGCCATTACTCTGCTTCCTGTTACCTAGCAACGGGTCCTGCTCAGCCATTGGTCGGCATCACAGTGGGTCCCTCCCACAAGCAACCAACTGTCAATGAGCAAGCCTTAGAGAAGGATTCAGCTAATAGTTGGGGAGAGTGGTGGTTGTCAAGCTCAGAGTGAGGCAAGAGGCAGATCCTGGACTTCTCCTCGGGGCCCTCCAAAGCTCATGGGCCCTCAGGCCAGCCGAGGGACCAGACTGAGACCTCTGTCCTGCGGGGCTCCTGAGCCCTCGCCAGGGGCACCCACTGGCCATAGCCCAGGCCTTGAGGCAGTGAACCTCTCCCTCAACCCTGTGTCTGCAGCTTAACGGCAGCGGCCTTCTACCTGGGATGCAGTCTGAGGAACTTGCCCTTCCCCTCCCCCACCCCGTCGCTCCCTCCGCGTTGACGACGGCAGAGTCTGGGGAGCTTGGCCCTGAGGGGGCCGCCAGCTGACATCTGCCTCCTCTTAGCCAGAACCTTGACCTCAAAGGGAAGAAGTTGTGCCCAGGATCTTTGCCCTTCAGAGAATAACACGGTTTGGTAGAGATTTACAGGAAGATCATGATCTGACCGTGACCTTGTTACTGAGCCCAAGCTCATGCTGCTCGCCACATGACAGGTCAAAAAATTGGGAGATGTGCTGCTGGAGCAAGAAATGATGACTTTAATTAGAAGGCCAGCAGACCCAGGAGATGGCAGACTAGCGTCTCCAACAACCTGCTCGTCTCAGCCAGGCAGGGTCCTTTTATATACAATAGAGGGAGGGGGGCGGGGCTTTCAGTGACACTGACCAATGACAGAGCAGGGCATTAGCTGGTTGCTGGTTGACAGTTGCTCGCTTGGTTGGGAGGAGGGGCCCACCAGGATGCCCAACCAAAGGCTGAGTAGGACAGTCAGAGCTGCTGTCTGTCTCAACAGAGCATGCAGCCTGGTGCCAGGGAGGGGAAGGCCCCTTTATGCCTTGCTTCCCATCGGGACTGCCACTGCAACCGGACCTCACAAGCAAGGGATCTGACACCAAGAAGTTTGCAACAACTAACCACACCCCTCTTTCACCTTTCCTGTAAAAAGGCTTTGCTGAAAACTTGTGGGAAGTTTGGGGATTTTTAGGGCATGAGCCATTCATCTCCTTGCACGGCCCTCAATAAACCTTTCTGTGTTCCAAACTATGATGTTTTGGTATTGTTTGGCCTCACCATGTGTCGGTCACACAGACTTGCAATTTGGTAACATTAATACACGTAATTTCTACTTTGGATACATCAGAACTTATTATAGAAGTCGTTTATTTCCACTGTTGTCTGGGAATTACACAAATGTTTGCAGATTATGGTAAGCCTCACTCCTGCGCACAAGAAGGCTGAATGAATAAAACTCTAAAAAAATACTCATGGGGAAAGATTTTGCAACTTACTATGTTTAAAAGGCCTAGAGCTTTACTGGCAGCTTTATTGAAAATTAGAGGGACCCCTATAAGCAAGCACAGACTCTCTCTATTGGAATTTATAATTGCCATGCTTATGAATTTGTGTCTGAAATTATGTCCTGTGACTGATTTAACTAAGTCCTGTCATAATCATGTCCAACATTTAAAAGAGCTTCTCCTTTTCCTAGAAACCCTGATGCATAAAGTCATAAGGACCTGGAAGGACCCTGTGGAAAAAGTCTGCCACCTTATTGACCAGGATACATGAAGGTATTCCAGAGGAAATATGGACTGTCACTGCTCCAAGAAGGATCCACTCAGGTCAACACTGATTACTCATGGATATCAAAGTAACAAAAATTCAGTTGGATCTGTGCTTCCCATGGGAAGCATTTCCATAAACATCTTCAAACTTAAGTTTTTTATGTTGATATTGGTACTGAATTCAATTGAAAGGAGATGTTCTAGCAAACACTATTACTCTCATAGACTACCTTGATGAGCTATTCACAATAGGGTTATTTCAGATACTTTAAAATCACATTTCCTAGAAAACAAACATGCTATTTGTTACACGACTTTTTCTTTGGTACTCCCAGTAATGATGCCTATAATCTCAATCAGTTCTAAATTGTATTTTCAGTATAAACAAGCCCTGGACTTATAGAGTAAAAGTAAAATCTGGTAGTAGTTTTTCTAATGACAAGGTAAAAGTAACTAATATGCACCAAGATGCTCACATCCTAAATTTGACATGAAAATGTTGTGATAACTGGTTTAATTGGAAGGATGGTGTAGAAAAGAACATCACTGATTTATTTATTTATTTATTTTCCCATTTATTTTTATTAGTTGGAGGCTAATTACTTTACAATATTGTATTGGGTTTTGTCATACATTGACATGAATCAGCCATGGATTTACATGTATTCCCCATCCCGATCCCCCCTCCCACCTCCCTCTCCACCCGATCCCTCTGGGTCTTCCCAGTGCACCAGGCCCGAGCACTTGTCTCATGCACCCAACCTGGGCTGGTGATCTGTTTCACCCTAGATAATATACATGTTTCGATGCTGTTCTCTTGAAACATCCCACCCTCGCCTTCTCCCAGAGTCCACAAGTCTGTTCTATACATCTGAGTCTCTTTTTCTGTTTTGCATATAGGGTTATCGTTACCATCTTTCTAAATTCCATATATATGTGTTAGTATACTGTAATGGTCTTTATCTTTCTGGCTTACTTCGCTCTGTATAATGGGCTCCAGTTTCATCCATCTCATTAGAACTGATTCAAATGAATTCTTTTTAATGGCTGAGTAATATTCCATGGTGTATATGTACCACAGCTTCCTCATCCATTCGTCTGCTGATGGGCATCTAGGTTGCTTCCATGTCCTGGCTATTATAAACAGTGCTGCGATGAACATTGGGGTGCACGTGTCTCTTTCAGATCTGGTTTCCTCGGTGTGTATGCCCAGAAGTGGGATTGCTGGGTCATATGGCAGTTCTATTTCCAGCTTTTTAAGAAATCTCCACACTGTTTTCCATAGTGGCTGTACTAATTTGCATTCCCACCAACAGTGTAAGAGGGTTCCCTTTTCTCCACACCCTCTCCAGCATTTATTGCTTGTAGACTTTTGGATAGCAGCCATCCTGACTGGCATGTAATGGTACCTGGTTGTGGTTTTGATTTGCATTTCTCTGGTAATGAGTGAAGAACATCACTGATTTAATATACACATCTGACATTTATAAATAGGAACCTGAAGTCAACTCATTCTATTAACATTGGGATGCAAGTTGTCTCTAGTATATCCAGATAAACTAAATTCCTATCATTAATGCATACGTAGTTGACTACTATAAGAGTATAATTATGGATTTAGACCCAGTGCAGGGGGGTAGAAAGGGACTTACAGGGTAAGTTTTTCTTGTACATTAAACATTTGAAGTTCAATCTATACCTTTCAGTGGTGCCTCATAGTGGGATTTTGATACTTGATGATGACCATGGGTGTCTTTGTGTTTCATATCCAGGAAAAATTATTTGAGAACATATGAATTGGTAAATAGTTAAATCAGATTCTTGATTGACAATTCACACAATTTTTTCTTGGCTGTACAAGAAACAAAGATGTCTTTGATGCTTGTATTTTCAAATGATCAATTAAGTAGTTGGCAGTTCCTTTTGAAGTCTCAGATGGTAAAGAATCTGCCTGCGATGCAGGAGACCCAGGTTCAATCCCTGGTTGGGAAGATCCCCTGGAGGAAGACATGACAAATCACTCCAGTATTTTTGCCTGGAGAATTCCATGGACAGGAGAGCCTGATGAGCTACCATTCATGGGGTTGCAAAGAGTCAGACACAACTGAGTCAAACTAACATGTCTGGTAACACGATGACATCTTACCCAATCCAACCCTGAAGTGAAGTGAAGTCGCTCAGTCGTGTCTGACTCTTTGTGACCCCATGGACTGTAGCCCACCAGGCTCCTCCCTCCATGGGATTCTCCAGGCAAGAGTACTGGAGTGGGTTGCCATTTCCTTCTCCAGGGGATCTTCCCGACCCAGGGATCAAGCCGCATCTCTTACGTCTCCTGCATTGGCAGGAGGGTTCTTTACCACTAGTGCAACCTGGGAATACTCCTGGGTAAACTCAACTATTTACACTTTAAAATTCATCTGGGAGGTGGGGTAGTTGCTCAGTCACTTAGGATTCTCCTTCTCTGGTTTTTTCTTTCTTCATCACCATGTAACATTCCTTGCTCTATGTTAGATGATAGAGGCGGAAATAACTGGTCCCTGGCTGCCTTTTGACGATATTTATGTATTTCTAATCTACTGAAATCTAATCTACTGATTCTCAGTACCAAAAAGTGTACTTGATAAATAATTACTTGGTGCATTTTCTTTTTTTCCTGGTCCTTTTCCACAACACCTTGTTTCTTTAAACTCTAGAACATTCCTTATAGTGAATTTTTAAAGACTTAAGATTATCCTTTCAACATAGTGCCTGTTTCCAGTTAAGTCTACTTTATGACTTAAAATCATTAACATCTTGAATAAATTATGCCTCTAATATCAGAAGTCAGTATAAGACATTTCTCTAAAACCTTAATCAGACATCACACCATGAATCCTTACCCGATATAAAGTAACCCCACAGATTTTTGAAACCGGTTTTTTTTTTCCACTTTGTCACTATTTTTGGCATTATATCTTCCAGCAAACTATAAAATTGCACTATAAAAAGGAGAAATAGTTGACAGTTTTGACTATTCAACCCATCAACAAATGCTTGGTAATGTTAAGGGGACAAAAATGAAGTATTCACTTTTTTATAGTGAATGATAAACTCCTTGATGACTGAAACCAAATTTTGTTTCTGTCTTCCTAGAAGTTCCTGGCTTCTAGAAATATACACATCAAAGTCGAATTAAGCCATCTTAACAGGCAGGGCTCTCAAGGTGAACTTTTAGATCTCTGATTTATAGGATTTACTGTCGGGATGCTTCCCTGGTAGCTCAGTTGCTAAAGAATCTGCTTGCAATGCAGGAGATCTGGGGTTAAATCCCTGAGTTGGAAAGATCTGCTGGTGAAAGAAAAGGCCAGCCACTCCAGTATTCTTGCCTGGGAAATCCCATGGACAGAGGAGCCTGGCAGGTTATAGTCCATGTGGCTTCAGGAATCGGACGTGACTTAGCAAATAAACCATCATCACCACTGTCAGGATGTTAAAATAAGTATAAAAAAAAAAAACTTAGTAATGCCTGGACTCAGAACAATGAGTGTTTAGAGAGGAGATTTTCCATGTTAACCATGCGCTCTATTCAGCCTGACTTGACCATCTTCTTCATAGCATATCAGTGCCTCTTTTACATGTAACCTCCTTCATTCCTGCTTCAGGGAAAGGAGACTACAAAACTCTTTCTACAACATATCATGGCTTCTGGTGTTCAATCAGTGAGGATACATACACACACATAATGCAAGATAATTTACATTACTGTTATTCTCAGGAATTCATTGAGGTAAAAAATACTGAAAAATCAATTACTGTAAATTTTAGGTTTTTTAAATTTTAGATTAGCAGTGGCCAAAGGACTGGAAAAGGTCAGTTTTTATTCCAACCTCAAAGTAGGTCAATGCCAAAGAATGTTCAAACTATCACACAATTGCACTCATCTTACACACTAGCAAGTAATGCTCAAAATTCTCCAAGCCAGGCTTCAACAGTACATGAACCGTGAACTTCCAGATGTTCAAGATGGATTAGAAGGGAGAGAGGAACCAGAAATCAAAATGCCAACATCCGCTGGATCATCAAAAAAGCAAGATAGTTCCAGAAAAACATCTACTTCTGCTTTATTGTCTACGCCAAAGCCTTTGTGTGGATAACAACAAACTGGAAAATTCTTAAAGAGATGGGAATACCAGACCACCTTACCACTTTCTGAGAAACCTGTATGCAGGTCAAGAAGCAACAGTTAGAACCACATGGAACAACAGACTGATTCCAAACTGGGAAAGGAGTAGGTCAAGGCTTGTCACCCTTGTCACCCTGTCACCCTTGTCACCCTGCTTATTTAACTTATGTGCAGAGTACATCACGAGAAATGCCAGACTGGATGAAGCACAAGCTGGAATCAAGATTGCCAGGAGAAACAGCAATAATATCAGATACGCAGATGACACCACCCTTATGGCAGAAATTGAAGAAAAGCTAGAGAGCCTCTTAATTAAAGTGAAAGAAGAGAATCAAAAAGCTGGCTTAAAACGCAACATTCAGAAAACTAAGATCATGGCATCTGGTCCCATCACTTCATCACAAATAGATGGGGAAGCAATGGAAACAGTGACAAACTTTATTTTTCTGGGCTCCAAAATCACTGCAGATGGTAACTGCAGCCATGAAATTAAAAGACATTTGCTCCTTGGAAGAAATGCTATGACCTACCTAGACAGCAGAGACATTCCTTCACCAACAAAGGTGCATCTAGTCAAAGCTATGGTTTTTTCCAGTAGTCATGTATGGATGTGAGAGTTGGACAATAAAGAAAGCTGAGCACCAAAGAATCAATGCTTTTGAACTGTGGTGTTGAAGATAACTCTTGAGAGTCCCTTGGACCACAAGGAGATCTAACCAGTCAATCCTAAAGAAAATCAGTGCTGAATATTCATTGGAAGGACTGATGCTGAAGCTGAAACTCCAATACTTGGGCTACCTGATGCGAAGAATTGACTCATTGGAAAAGACCCTGATGCTGGGAAAGATTGAAGGCAGAAGAAGAAGGGGATGATAGAGGATGAGATGGTTGGATGGCATCACTGACTTGATGGACATAAGTTTTAGTAAGCTCTGGGAGTTGGTGATGGACAGGGAAGCCTGGCATGCTGCAGTCCATGGAGTCACAAGGA